TCGTTTCAGAAAATATACGGATTCGCTGTCCACACGAAAACGCAAGGGCGGCGTTTTCAGATTTATCCACTCTGGGACCCCGTTTCAAAAAATATCAGTTTCACTCTCCCAAAACGGCGGATCCGTCTGGACGAAACGCCTATACGATACAAAATGTATGCGTATAGAGCTAAACGCGTCTCCGTGGATTTACCTTCACTGCATGGACAAAAAACACCAATATATTCTTAAAAATATCTTTTGTGTTTCACTGAAGAAAGAAATGAAAATGGATTTGGAACAGCATCAGTAAATAATGCCAGAGCGTTAATTTTTAGGTGAACTTTCCCTTTAAGTTTCTAAATGTTTTTAGTCTTGGGCCAGTAATTAAGCCAGGTGTAAGCGGTGAACGTGCTCTTGTTTCAAGTGTTTTCTCCGCTGCAGCCCTGCCCCCTCGGCCCTCTCAACATCCTTTAAAACTTCTTTTGAGCTGCTGGCTCCCTCCCCCACTCTCTTCTCTTTCTTTCAGTGTGAGGGTCTTTCTTTGTGCAGGTGAAGAGCGAGAGCCGTGCAGCTGGTGAGCACCGGGTCAGCTATGCGGCCTCTTGACCCGAGCTCTACCAACATCACTCGGCACCAACAAATAACCCCGCGCAGGCCCCTACAGTCAAGACCTCCTCTCCCACTTTCTCCCTTTCTCAGCATATGCACATTCTCAGATCATAACAATACCTTCATTAAAATCTGCATCCAACTGAAACACTCTTAGCTTATGTGAAGTAGTTTTTTTTTCATTTTTGCGACTGGACTGATTAGGGAGAGGCCATTATATCTGCCAGAACAATTAATCGCCTGATATTTGGCCAATTTGAGATAAATGTGCCCAGAAGCGTCCATTCCAAAAAGCCTCAAAATAGATATTAATGATAAAATTCACATTTATTTTGACAAAAATGAATTAAATTAATTTGCCTATACTAATACTTAGAGCTCAAAATTGCTTAAAATATATAAGTATAAATAACAATAACAATTACAAATAATAATATGATAATTATTATTATATAAAATGTATATAATATAATATTATTATTATAATCTGTTGTTTTTACGAGATTTCTTTAGCTATTTTAGCAACTGCCTTGGCTGGGCAGGTAGACATTATTAGAGCTTTCTTGACATGTTTGCATCCCTTCATCTCGAACTCTTTGCTTTTCTTCGAACACTCCACTCTGTCTTCTGTATAAAACAGTCTAAAACCTCCAGTCTGTTGTTCTGTAGAATATCACGTGTGAATTCTATCTGTCTGCTGAGCTGGTGTGATTTGTAGCTTGTATCTGCCGGGCTTTGATCTTTCACTCGAGTACCATCCGTATATGAACCAGTCGTTTTGTGATTCACAACATCAGAGAAGTAGTTCCCTTGTAAAAAGCATTTCGAACCATTTGAAAGGTGACGCCCACAACAATTTATGAGCTGATGAGGTTAAGTCAAGTAATTCCCACCATCCTACATCTGATGAAGCCATTAGTGCTGAAATGTTTCGAAAAAATTCAAATAAATGCAAAAAATGGACCAGTTACACAGAGTTGCAAAGACCTACATGATTAAAACCCTTCAGACCCTGTTAACATGCAAGTAAACTAAGGCTAAATGTTGACACGCACCACAGTACAGTTTTACTCACATGGAAACTAATCCATAAATATTTACCTTTCAGCATCTTGACAGCCACCGTCACGGCCTCTTTAGGTTTGTCCTTGTCGATGCCCAGAGCTTCAGCCATCACAACCTGCCCAAAGCAGCCCTCGCCAAGCGGTTTACCCAGAGTTAACCTGTACAAACAAACACCAAAAAACACAAACATTACAGAGAAACCCAAAGCTCTTGACAGGCAATATTTATGCCCTGCATGAGCATTTCAATCCATCCAGACAGACTTTTTCAGTCTCCAGATGCGATTATGATGCCAAAAAATGCTGTCTAGTTTGGAAACATGTTGCATTAGCGACATCTAACCGTATATCAGAGTTGCAAGTGCGCGTGTTGTGTTTACTTAACTCGTAGGTGTTAAGTGGATGCCCTTTGCCTTCCATTGCAAAGCTTACATTAGACATTAGCGAGTGTGACAGCCGAATGTCTGGCTGGGAGATCTAGAGTTACGGTCCTCTGGGGTGAGCAACAATATGCCTTTGGGGATTTACAGACTTTCTTAAAGTGTGCAAGAGAAGGCCAGATACTGGGGTTAACGCTTGACTAGCGCACTCTGGTCAAGTGCAAAAAAAGATATTAGAGCATGTTTCAGGAGAGTGTTGTAACGTATACATCAGTTAAGAGACTCCCACCTTTTTAAAGGACTAAAGTGTAGTACATTTATATATATAAAGCAATATATAATTTTCACATATGTGACCCTGGAGCACAAAAGCTGTCTTAAGTCGCTGGGGTATATTTGCAGCAATAGCCAAAAATACATTGGTTCAAAATTATTGATTTTTCTTTTAAGCCAAAAATCATTAGGATATTAAGTAACGATCATGTTCCATAAAGATATTTTGTAAATTTCCTACTGTAAATATATTGAAACTTAATTTTTGATTAGTAATATGCATTGCTAAGGACTTCATTTGGACAACTTTAAAGGACGATTTTCTCACTATTTTGATTTTTTTTTTGCACCCTCAGATTCCAGATTTTCAAATAGTTGTATCTCGGCCAAATATTATCCAAACAAACCATACATCAGTGGAAAGCTGATTTTTCAAAAAAATTGACCCTTATGACTGGTTTTGTGGTCCAGGGTCACATATGTATATTCTCTAGGTAGATCAAGATATAAATTTATAACATATATAACATTTCCATAGTAATATTTGTATATGTACACATGTTAATAATATCTATATAATTATTTTTTGAATGTGGTATTATATGTAGCAACCATACATTTCAACAATATATTTTATGTATATATGCAACTTTATTAAAACAACACATTATATATATATATATACACACACAAAAAAAATACGTATGTTTATATATGTTTTTGAAATCATTTTCTTTAAATACATGTCTATCTTTTATATTGATTTACATAATATCAATATGTATATACACACATGATATGTATGTCCAAATATATATTATACATAAACATAAATATTTGTATGGGCTAGAATGTATATACATAATACTTCAATAATCTTGTTTTATTCACAACTTCGAAAATAAATTATATTACAGAGCATAAAACAAAATGAAAATAATTGATTTTATTTATGGACCAACTCTCCTTTTGAGAACAGCTCAAAAATCATCTTAATTTCATCAAATGAGCTTTTGGGAACTTTTTTCAGCTAATTTGTCCCTTAATTAGCCCTAGTTTGGAAACAAACCCACCCTCAAACATTAAAACACAATCACACACACTTCAGCTTCATCCCTCATGATAACTGTGACATTCGACCTCTTGCCCTGACAGTGGCCCTCAGTCAACCTTTGATTGGCAGGAGCTGGGGTCTGTCCCCGGCCCCCTGCAGCACTGGGCTATGTAAACATTCACACCCGCACTGGGGCCCGGGGCCGATCTGAGGCTGTGATAACACAATCCCCCTCTGTGCTGTACGGTCAATGGCGGCCTCTGTCTACTCCAGCCCACCACAGATAATCAATGTTATGTTTATCCTACATGCCGACCGCAAACGTTAACATTCCATAGTTTTCAGCCCAGCATGCGCCCTGGGGCACATCATGCGGGGATGAAGACAGC